GACAAGATACCCCAACCGGATGCAAAAAAGCCCCCCCCCCCCCCACTCTCGTCGCCCAATCGCAGAAACATCCACGAAGGGAAGAGGCAGGACTTCCCCCGATAAAGAACGGCTCAGCGAGTCAGTCCTCTCAGAGACCAGGATGCAGACGCACGCCCTCTTCAACCTCCTCGTCCTCCTGGCTCTGGGGACTCTCTCCGCCGCCCGGGAGAAGAGACAGGCGGATCCCCGCAACGATCCGCCTTTCCAGGTACGGTGGAATGCGGATCTCATGGAATCTCGTTGGGCGCGAGGACCCCGTGGAGGCGCTCCACCACGTGCCCCAACCCAGGTCAACCCACCCCCTGTCCCACCTCCACCCCAAGTCAACCCACTTTTCGTCCCACCCTCTCTCCCACCTCCACCCCAGGTGAACCCACCCTCTGCCCCACCTCAAGTAAACCCATTTCCACCTGCTCCAGGTGGACGTCCACCTCAACCCGAAAATACTTGCAACCCTCCTAACAGATGCGTTCCCGCCCAACAATGCAAGGTGAGTCACTATTTCATGGAGAAATCCCGCCATCAAATGTCTCCCAATCGCTCGTGACGTCACCACGACACTCGAACGAAACGCTTCCGCCTCGCAGAATCATCACCCTTCCATTTTCCCTCTTGGTCAAATCTGAAATATCGTTCCCCATTTCCTGCAGGAAGGGGTTGTCGCCGCCAATAGGCAGCCGAACGCACCGCCCAGCGCTAGGGGATGTCCGGGCCTCACGGATGTCTGCTGCCGCGATCCCCCCGCCACCACCCCCAAGCCTTACGTCCCTCATTGTGGCAAGAGGAAAGACAGCGGTCTGCATCGTTCCTTTTTCGATTCCTCCTCGTTTCGTACCTATTTAACTTTTTTTCCTCCACAAGCTTCCTTTCAAGAAAAAAAAAAAAAACATGGTTCCCAAGCAATCAGACGTCTGTCGTATTCACCCGAAGATTTCGTTAAAGCTTCATCAAAGCTTCACAAAACAAAACTCCCATCTCTGGAAGCATTTAACCAAGCAAAAAAAAAATGGAAAGCCCCACCCACAACGCAGAAACTCACCTCGCCCTCCAACCCTCCAGTCATCACAGTGCCTCTCGCCTCCGACGACGCAACCTCCGGCTCCGAGTCCCAGTTCGGCGAGTTCCCATGGATGACAGCCATCCTCCACGAGGAGCCGAGCGCGCAAGGACGGCTGCAGTATGTCTATCTGTGCGGTGGCTCCCTCATACACCCACAGGCCGTTCTCACCGCCGCTCATTGCGTCCACAATTACCTGTGAGATGTCGCAATTTCCTCTCGTATAAAAAATTGAGCTCTGAATCTGGGAAGTAAGGATATTTAATATCGTTCCTCGCGTTTCACCGCCCGCTGGATTACGAGACCGAATTCCCATTTCTCGCTGGTGACATTGATGAATTAAGGTATTACGAAATATTGACTATAAGCGCAAAGGCGGGTTCTCCGTGCTTTTTTAAAATGTGGTTTTCGAATCGATTCTCGCTTTCAAGCTCTGATTACAAAGGACTGAGGGCCCGGTTTGGAGAATGGGACACGCAAAACGAAGACGAGCCCTTGCCGCACCAGGATAGAAAGATCTCAAAGGTGAGACCCAAACGCACGAGACACCCGAGCCGATCGCCACGATCGGCTCGGGTGTCTCACTCCTCACTCTTCAGGTCGTGATCCACGAGGCCTTCAACCAGCGGGTCATGTTCAACGACTACGCCGTGCTGATCCTGGACTCCCCGGTGAAGCAGGACGACCACATCGACACCGTCTGCCTGCCTGGACCTCGGACGAATTTCGCCGGGCGTCGGTGCTACGTCACGGGATGGGGGTATTCCAATGCAGTATTCGACCCCCCAAGGAATTCCTTAGGGATGTGGAAAGAGAGAAATGTTGGACCTTTGAAGGAAAACTAAGAAGGAGGGGCATTACCATGATGTGCTGAAGAAGATCGACCTGCCGGTGGTGGAGCAGGCGTGGTGCCAGGAGAGTCTGAGGAAGACGAGGCTCTCCCGGTTCTTCATCCTCCATCCCAACTTCCTCTGCGCAGGGGGAGAACTCGGCAAGGATGCCTGCAAGGTCAGTTCTCTCTTCTAGGGGAGGCCAGATGGCTTTTGTTTTCGAGGGAGGGTGGGGGGTTGCGATTTCCACATTTTCTCTTTTTTTTTTTACGTCGAGATAAAACGTTGCAGAAGGCGCAGTTCAGCCGTAAAGCTCGATCCGTTTTGGACAATCGGCAAGTTTTAGTTAGGAATCAAATACCTAAAGCGACAATGTAATTAATCCAAGAGAAAGTGCAAAAAAAAACATGAAATACGAGGCGTTCGGATCGCAGAGCTCTTTTGGATTGATGCCCGACGAATCGCAGGGCGACGGAGGCAGTCCACTCGTCTGCCGGGACCCGGCGACGAACCACTACGTCCAGGCCGGGATCGTGTCGTGGGGGATCGGGTGCGGGGAGCAGAACATCCCGGGGGTCTACGCGGATGTCGCGAAGGCTTCTGCGTGGATCAACGAGGTCGTCTCCAAGCACTTTGCGTATCCGAGGCGGTATTGGAGCGAGGAGGCGCCCGATCCGGAGAGATTCTACTGAGATTCTACCTGCCTGCGGATGGGAATAAAATCGGTTTGTGGCAGACTCGTCGATCGACTTTGTCGACAAGGAGGCAGAGGTGATTTCAGGTCGGTGTGCTTCGACTCGTATGGGTCGATGTTCAATTACGGGATTTGGAATATCGGGTTCGATGCTTCGCGTCCTTCGAGATCGGACGAATGATTAGGATTATGCGAAGGATTAGGATTATGCGAAGGATCAAGATTTCCTCCCGGTCGCTGTCGTCTCCTGGTCTCACTTGCAGCAGGGAAATAATTCCCGGTGTCGCCGCACCGATTAGCAATACTCAAAACTCCCAAGATCGTCGAAAGCGGTACAGAGGAATTTTCGAAATGACGATTCTTCATTTGGCATTCACAGAATGTAAGAACCCCATTTTAAGTACTCTTGAGTACTGAAAGAGCACTCATGGCTATCCTCGGACGAACAAAGACCTTTTTCGGAGCGTTCGGCTGATGAGCTCCCCCCAGTCGTCGCCGAAGAAAATCAGGATCAGAATATTCATATTTCTTCCCAAGCGACAAATCGGTAATCTGCCTTGGTAATCTGCGATTAGGATTACGTCGGACCCCGTCGTGTTACGTCCAGGTCGGCTACGAGAAAGCCTCGACCTCACGTGAGAGGCTTGTAACGCCCGAGTGGATGCAACGATGAATCGACCGGGAGGAAAGGCAAGGACGAGACGCGTCGAATTTCGGTTTCGGTTCGAAATCCCACGAAATGCGTTATCTTGGCAGTAAAACTGTTAAATAGCCTCAGAAAAGGAACGTTGGGGAGAAAGTCATCAATATCCTGGAGAAATTAGTCATGTGAGTATTTTCTTCCTATTGGAACCTCCCAGAATTTCGGGCAGGTAAAAACCTAAGAACCATGCTCCAGAGGGAAAGCCTGGAGTGAATACAGGTCATCACGAAATGAGGTCATGAATGAGGTCCTCTTCCTGCACAGAGAATACACCTTTTTTGGGGGGAGGGAGGGGGGGGGGGGAGGATATTTGCTGCCTGAATCTCTTCGCCCCGGCAGCACCACACCCACTTCCCACCCTACTCCTGTTTTTTTTTTTTTTTTCCCCGCCATCGTGGGTGCCTCTAACAGGCATGGAAGTGAAGATCGCCCACGACGACTCATATGACGACTCCAGACCCACTGAGACCCACTTCGGCGATTTCCCTTGGATGACAGCCATCCCACACGAGGAGCTCGATCAGCAGGGAAGCGTGCAGTCCTTGTGCCAGTGCGGTGGCTCCCCCATTCACCCACAGGCCGTCCTCACCGCCGCTCATTGCGTCAACAAGTACTTGTGAGATGCTGTCAATTCACTCGTCAAAATAAAAGAGTGGTCTCTGTATCCGAAGAACCAGTACTTATTGCGTCGTTTCTCGCGCCTCACCGCTCTCAGATTAAGAACTTGAAGTCCCAGTTTTGTGACGGTGACCCTGATGAAGCTGGCATTTCAGGCACATTGATGGCATATAAAGCATATTCGATTGCCTTACTTTTTGCCTCTCATTACATATTTTCGGCAGCACTCCGTTCCGTAGCCTTACATTGATATGTACGGTATTTCCAGCTTTGATTATAGCAAACGGAAGGCCCATTTTATAGAATGGAACACCCAAAAAGACCAACCGTTACGACACCAAAACCGAGAAATCGCAAAAGTGAGACTCGAACCCGCAACGGCACCCCTCACCCCAGCCAATGGCCATCACTTATGCCTCATTTTTCTGGCAGATCCGAGGGCTACAAAAAGCGTCAAGAGCTCAACGAATACACCGTGTTTATCCCGGACTCGGTGAAGCCTGACGATCGCATCGATGAGCCTGCCTGAACCCGAATTTCGTCAGTCATCGGGGCCACGTCAAGGGATGGGGGTATTTCAATGAAGCCTTCAAGCCTAAAAAGGAATTCCTGGTGGGTATATGACGAATGAAGGGCGGCTGGAGGAAAACGGCCTTCGAAAGGAGGAGCGATACCAGGTGTTGAAGAAGATCGATCTGACAGGGTCGGAGTAGACGTGATGATATCGAGCAAGGCCAAACTCTCCCACCTCTTCGTCATCTCATTTTCCTCTTTACTAGGGCGGGATTACGTAAGGAAAACCTAAGAAAGCATTAGTAATAGTAAATGCCACGATTTCGACGGAGACAAATGCCTTTCACTTGACGCACATATATTTACTTTCTGGTATCAAGTTGTGGTATGATGATGGAATCATTCATATTCTTATTGTATCTCATGCACCCCTCAAAATCCGCTCTAAAATAAAATCGATAAAAGAGGTGAACATGGTCCAGGGCTAAATATCACAAGCGAATGCGAATCCTCCGAGTTCCTTCCGCATATTTTTATTCCCATTCTAATCGCCTGACACCGCGGCCGACATTCAAAGGGAAGGACATCCTTCGATAAAGCGGTGGGAAACGACCGGGGCACCGGCACTCACACACGACCAGAAGGTCACTATGAAGAGGGAAGGAATAGTGACGCTCCTAGTCCTGGGCCTGGGGACTCTCTGCGGGCCGACGAAGAGTCAAGCGGAAGACCCCAGTGAGGAATTCCTCGGGCGGAACCAGGAAGAGGACGCCGGCGAGAATGTCGAAGATCCCGAAGACCGTTGGGCGCTGGCACCTGGTGGAGGCACACCACCACATCCTCCACACCAGGTGGACGAACTTCCAGTCTCATTGCCTCCAGGTCCTGCAGGCGAACTTCAACCTCAGACCGAAAGCACTTGCAAGCCTCCTTACGAGTGCGTGCCTTACTTCCTCTGCAAAGTGAGTCTCCACTTTTTTTGTCATCAAATTTTGCGGATAAAATTCAGTTTATGACTGGAAAGTTTCTCCCAGTGCCGAGGTGCCATTCGAGGTAATTCCATGGAAACTGAAACTGTTATTACCCAAGTGCTAAAATTAAGCTTCTAAACCGTTACACTTCAAACAAATATGTAAGATCCACGCCAATTTGCCAATTTGCCGTGTGTAAAGCAAACCTGTCAGAGAGCCTCAGATCAGGATCGCGAAGGGGTGAAAGATCGACAAGGCATCTGGCGATATTATAGGAAACTTGGCCTTTAGTAAACTGGTAACAAGCGAGGTAAAAATCGGTTGCATTTTCGGCTGGGCTTTTCATTTCAGAAAGGCGTGATCATCTCGAATGGGACCGGCATCAACGACATCCACTTCGAAGACGACGAGGAGTGGAATCAGGTGGGTGGGAGCTGTCCGATCTTCCTGGATGTCTGCTGCCTGGATCCCCTGTCATCCAACGAAGCTTACATCCCTCGCTGTGGCAAGAGGCATAAGAAAGGTCTGTTGTGCATTCCAATTTCAAAATCGCCTTTTCTCCTCCTCGTTACATCAAACTTACTCTCATGCGATTGGGCAGACGAATTTTGTATAGCCAACATTTGCTGGAATGCCATTGCTCTCTCTCCAATTTTGACATAAACGTTTATATTGGTGTTCACTTTAGTGAAATTGCTTGAAATTTTGAGGAATTTCATCGATAGAGTTTCAGAAGCTTTTAATTCGGTAAAAATTAAAGTTAAAAACCAACTCTAATATAGAAACTCTCAAAGCGTATTATTCGAGTCTCCCCACCGAACCTCCACTCCCTCACCTCTCGTTTCTTACTGGCATGAAAGTTCGGATCATGTTGGATAACTCAACCTCGGACTCCGAGACCCAATTCGGCGAGTTCCCGTGGATGACAGCCATCCTGCACGAGAGGCCCGACCCGCAGGGGAGCGTGCAGTCCTTGTACCAGTGCGGTGGCTCCCTCATACACCCACAGGCCGTGCTCACTGCCGCTCATTGCGTCCACCAGCACCTGTGAGATATCGCGAGTCCTCCTCGCTAAATAAAAAGGATTATTTCGTTCTGAATCTCGAATTCCTTGCGAAAAATCCCCCTGCAGTCCACCGTGGAACTATCCTAATCCTCTGAGTGATCCACTTGTGGAATGATAAGTACCTATAAGGAGTAGTGTGGACTTAATGCGGACTGTACCACCAGGGGACTTGTCCCCATTGGGAGTAATGTGGATATAAGAATATCCTAATGTGGACTATTTGTGGATTCATCCAAATCCTCCTGGTGGACTTAGGGTCGTCCACATGTGTGGATTTTTCGTAAGGGATGTTCTGATTCTTCACATTGCTCTTAGCGTCTTGATTGAGAGTCGAAGTTCCAGTCTCGTGATGGTGACCGTGATGAATAGAGCATTAAAATGAGGATTGTGGCATGCATGCCAGTTCGTCTCATATTGGGAGGGCTGTCCTCACCGTCGCTCATTGCGTCGACGCATAAGATATCACGAGTTCTCTTGGCAAAAAAATGTACCAAAACTTACCAATTTACTCCAAACTTACCAATCGCTCAGGAAATTAGGAATTTTTTTTTATCAGCACTTCTTGATTAACAAACAGCCGGCGGACGCCATTCGACGACTATGCCGTGATGATCTTGGATTCCCCGGTGGAGCTGGACGAACACGTCGACGGGCTCGATCTGCCAGGACCCCAGACGAATGATGGCTTTCGGAAAGGATGGGTGAAACCAAGGTGAAGAAAATCGATCTGCCGCGGGTGGAGCTTTCCAGGTGGCAGGAGAAACTGAAGGAGGCGGAACGACTCTCCCGTTTTTTCCTTCTCCATCCAGATTTCCTGAAAATTGAAAATTCTAAAATTTTTAACTTTTGCATGAATTTGATTTTCGAGTTACTGGACTAAGTTAATTTCCAATGTGATTCATGACAGGAATGTTGAACGTAATAAAAGCTCCACGTGGCACGTGCAATAGACGAAATCCTCCACAATTTACGGTTAAATTAAACAGGATGGAGTTTTTCTTTTTAAATTGCTTTTGAAGTTCCCAAATTTTCGAGCCGATCGAATTACTGAGACTCCCCAGCCCAAATTGCCATAATCGCGCCAGTTCCCGAGAGTGCAAAATTTCTTCCCAACGTGCCAAATCGCC